GAGGTGACCAAATTTCAAAGCATGCATATATTTGCTGCTCAAACGCACATATATGCAGAAATTTATGTCAATTTTGTATTTGTTTTGCATTTATATGCATTCTAACTAACTTTTTATGCAGGTATATATGTATGAATGTTGAAAAACACTCAAAACTTCAAATCAATTCAAATTTTGATTCTTTGAATAGCTGAAATAGTGAAAAGCATAAACAAGTCCACAGTGTATTAGTATCCATATGCCATATTGGCATAGTCCATACCCATAGTTGATAGTTCATACAATCATCATACACATAGCCCCCTAAAATTGATTCCAATAAGATAGGGTAAGCTTTCAGATGATTCATCGAACTTTACAACTGTTTCTCGATTCCAAAAGGAAATTGGAAAAAAAGCAATTTTGGGTGATTTTAGAGTTGAGTGTTTCCACTCTTTGGGGGTTAGAATACCCCGCAAAACACCCTTTCCCCCTTCTTCATGGGTTAAGAGGATCCAAAATGCCCACACTGGCAATTTTTGCTGCCAAAAAAGGCCCAGTTCCTAGGCTCTCACCCAGGGCTGGGTGCTGGGTGCTTGCCTAACCCTCCTGGGTAGTGCCCAAGAATTGGCACCTAGAGATGCCTGCCCAAGCCTAGGTTAGGCAGCCTAGGGTCCCTTGGGCAACTAGGTGCTGGGCAGCTCATTTTTTAAAATATGATAAATATTTGAGTTACCTCTGGCATCAACCGCGGGATTCAGGATTCATACATTAGATCTAAGAAGTTCTCCAAGATTTTGGGCTCCCAATCATCCTTGCACATCAAATACAGGGGTTGCCTAGGCCAAAAGGGTCTCTTTTAGCCTTTCTTGGTTTCCATGTATGGAGTTACATACAAGTTTGATAATCACAATCTAAAGGGTCATCCTAGTCCTAGCAACTCAATGCAGACATTTCACTTCCAAACCTTCTATGAAATACAGTCAAAGGGAAATGTACACAAAAAGATATTGTTGCTTGAAGTAATTAAATTATATAAGGAATTCGCAACTACACATGGCATGACAGTCAATTGGAGAAAATTAATAACACCTGGAACACATGGAACACATGGGAAGAACTTAGCACTTGTGTCCTTTGGCCATCCTCTTGATGATTTGGAAGAAAGAAGCCACCACAATATTATAACATTTACTCAAGTAACAGACTATCTCCGAGAATATTCAATATGAAATGATCCCTAACCTTACCTTGCTGTAGGAAATACACATTCCAAATCCCATTCTTAACAACCAAAGATCGTGTAGGTCTCACAACAAACCAAGCAGGGTACCAAGGCCTTCTCAGGCCCAACCAATATTCGTGAACCAAGAGGCAGCCCTTCGAACTGGCCTCAATATAATTGCTAGTGATATACCTGTGCAGTCGATAGAGGAGTGAAACTATCTTAATGTCATCAGATTGACAAGATAGGATCACCTTTCCCATAACACTCCATGAATAGAGATATATGGCAAAGTTTTGAAGGGGCCATCATTTAGGCATCTAAGAATGTTGAGCACCTAGATGCCTCAGACACATTCATGCATCAGAATTTTGAAGGATCTTTAGAAAATTTCATCTTTCATTCAATTATTATTCTGAACATTTCATTTAATTATTATTCTGAACACCCAGCAAGATCATATCCATGAATAAACCATAGCTCCATGGCACTTGTCTGTAACCCTTAACCTTGTAGAATTGGGGTTCTTCTGAATGTTATTGGATTGTTTATGTGCTTCACAAATATTAATGATATTGTCCTGATATTGAAATTATGCATTCTACGGTGGACATTGGGTACATCTAGTTCGCTCCTTAATAGATTAACTGTGACCTGCTCATTGGCATTGGGTGACAATATCACTATTAAAAATTATTTCAAAAAGACGATATTATTCATAAAAATAGCATAGAAAATCATTAATCATTTCCTATTAAGTAGTCTTCAGATAATTTTGTCCTTTGATAACTATAACATTTGGATTTACATTGCTCAAAACATAAAATAACATATATTTATTAGTACTTAACTTCTTTAAGGACAAGGCATTTACAATATGGCAATAAGAAAAATATCAGTGCCACAATTCAATAGTAACTGTGATGGAACATTCCCTAGTTGATTAAAATGAAAGGTCATAGAAAGATCTCTTGTTCATATTTAAAATGGATCAGAATTGCATCAATGCAATCGCTTCTGGAAACAACAGGTACTCTGTTGCAAAGCAGTGTGCTGCTTGTCAAATCTTCATACCCCAAAAAATTGAAAGTAAAATATGAACATAGCAAATAAAATCATTGCATTCTGTGGATACCATTTCGAAATGATGGGACATTATTCATCACTATAATGACCTAGAGCCATAATGCACATGTAGCATTAGAGCACTAAATATGAAGCACCACATTGTCCATGCAAAACCAGATGATGAAAAATCACGAGGGGTTTCCCCATCATATAATGAATCTCAAGCTATAATGAATCTCAAGCTATAGCATCACAAAAAGAAGACCCCATATAATTTCTCTCAAAACAAATGAATATCGTCAAAACTGAAAAAGGAAGAGAAAGAAGAGGACAGAAAGGTTGTATGAAAACAACCAGCAGGAACAAAGGAATAAACACAAGAAAATGGCTTCTAAACCCACAGAAGCAACAGATTCAGAGCAGATTCTCAGGGCCGAGTAATTGCTTTCCACAAAAACATCAGAACAAGACAACAAAGCCACCATCAGCAATGACAACATGGAGAGCAAAAAGATGAACAAAACCATCAAGCCACATTCCCATTCTTCTGCATTCATAGCACTAGAAAAGGAGAAAGAGAATAAAAGATAGAAAGAGAAGCAAAGATAGAAAGAGAGAGAGAACTACATGATAGAGAGAAGTTCAGGAGGGGAAGAATGGGTTACCCAGCAACCAGGCGACAACCTTCTTCGTACCGCTGCTGATGCCGACCTGTGCGGGCCACTAAATGCGTCATTCTCTCTCTCTATCTCACCACCTCTTCACTTCACAAAAAGATACCATCTCCTCTCTTTCTCTCTCTCTCTCTCTCTCTCTCT